AAATAAGCCCTGGGGTATGTAGGGTTAAATACTGCAACCACAGGTGACATAGTGATGAAACTGTTATCTTCTCAGAAAGCGTATTCTGTGCTTGGGAAAATAAACTGAAGATACTTTTTTAACCAGATGAGATTTCAAAAATTTTCTCAATTCTCCTAAAAGAAGCAAGAAAACAACTCGGATTTGACCTGGCCACTGGCCACTGTCCACGACTCCTGTTCCTAGAAAGCTTGATAAAATAGGTTTAAGTTTGTCCCTTACTCAGTGAAAGTATAACAGAACCCCCTGTTGCGGTTTAAACCCAGCCAGAGAGCTCATTCACTCACTCCCCCCACTTCTTTCCTTCCCCCTTCTCCCGGTAGGACAGAGAGGAGAATGGAAAAGAATGCAACTCCCACAGGTTGAGATATGAACAGTCCAGTAACTAAGGTGTAACAAAAACCACTACTGCTACCACCAATAATAATAACAATAAGGGAAATAACAAGGGAAGAGAATACAACACCTCATCACCAGCCGACCGATAACTCGCCCCCCTGGCCTGACCAAGCACCGACCGATACCTCCTCTAACCCCCGCAGTCTCCTAGCCCTTCCGGGTAACTCCCAGTTACCTCCTGGGCATGACGTGCTGTGGTATGGAATACCTCTTTGGTCAGTTTGGGTCAGGTGTCCTGCCTCTGCTTCCTCCCGGCTTCCCCTCCTCCCTGGCAGAGCATGAGGCTCACAAAGTCCTTGGCCAGACCAAAACATCAGCATTATCAGCTCTGTTCCCAGGCTGGAATCAAAAACACAGCACTGCACCAGCTACCAAGAACGAGAAAAATGTCTGCTACTGCTAAACCCAGGACACCACCTCTACAATTATTTTCAATGAATAATTTTAGTGACAGGAGCCTGCCAAAAAAACCCCAAATAAACAGCTGCTTATTCATCAAGTGGCATCTTTGTAATGGCTTTTATCATGCCCCAGCTGACTTGACTGAAGATATCAAATGTTATTTCTGTTAGCACTGAGTAGACAATGCATCTGGGAGAAAGTTATTTTGGTTCCCAAATCATTAATACAATTATTAGAGCCTGAGGGTTTCCAAACAGGCTAAATGAATTAGACATACAGGTCTTACAGAAGTTTGAAGAGGTGGCTATCAAAGTAGCAAGATGCTATTTTAAGCTCCCATGGCAAAAGCTGTGGTTCCTAAGCCTGGAAGGCTGAATGATGGCTTTCAGATTCCAGGCTGATTTCCAGGCATCATCTTTACAAATAACCACTGAAACCTACTTCTCTGTATATGGGCTAGATTTGCTTAGAAGTTGTTAAAACAATAACTAGGGTATTCCTAATTCCACTTTTCAGGACAGAATATGTATGATCAACAGATTGAGAGTCATCAATTAATAGAGAATTTGGTCCCAGTCTCATTGTAAATGAAATGACAGAAGGGGGTGGTGGGGATATGATATTTGTATCTTTTACAGTGCTTGAATTCAACAGTAAGGTACATAACATTTGCTTAAACAAAGAAAAGTAGAAAATAGAGGGGCAAACCTCATCAGGACATGCAACAGATAGGACTTGTAGAATACAGGTTGGTTTATTTTGTGTCCATTGCAACCTGTAATGAGACTCCTTTTTTTTTTTTTTATAAAAGTAGATTATTATCAGGTTCATGTTTGTATGCTAACAAGAAGGAAAATGTGAAATAAAGGTCTTGGCACTCTGATAATGTATTTGAAGATTCATTGGTATTTTATGCATAGTCTGCAGATCTAGAGTATTGAAGGTTATGCAGTAAATAAAACTAAATAGTAAATAGTTTATCAATATTTTGGGTTGATATTATTTCCTTTTTTCAGAAAGAGTGAAAGTTGTCACAAACTCATTTCAGACCCACTTTCTAGCTATGAGCATAATGCTGAAGCAAGCAGGTGGAAGCAAAAACAGCAAGCATGCACCGTGAATGTTTGTGGTGTGAATTATCTAAAAGCAGCTACAGTTGCACCAGATTTCAGAAGTTTGACCCTTATACTGCCTGTATCAATGCAGTATTTATGCCTGCATCACATTAAGTTAAACCCACTGCTGTGGGATGAGAAGCGGCAGAGCAAACGACTTTAATAAGCCTTCACAGTCATATCCCCAGCCCCTCAGACACATACGCAGCACAGGCTCAGTTAAATTCTGAGTCATCATTGAGGCTGGGCGGGATTTAGAGCACAAACAGTTAATTCAGTAATATAAAAATATATATAAAGACAGATAGTGGTGTCTGTTATCAGAGATGAGACCTGGCAAATGCACCTGGCAAACAGAAAGGAGAGGCAATTAATCAGTATCAAGCACCACATTCAGAGGTAATGGAAAGAAAACAATAACAGTATGTGGTGCAGTTCTTAGTGGGAATCCTAAACAAGTATGAATTTATTTTGTCACAAACTGAGCCCAAAAGAAGTCAAAACAAGGTCATTGGTAAATTCCCTCAAAGTCCACTTAATCAAAGATGATGTGATAAAGGTTAGTCCACTTTCCAGTAGGCTGTGATTTTACTGGACATTCACATAGAATGCATAAAGGAAAATTCAAGGCTAATGGAAAAAACATTCCTGTCAGGGTGACAGGATGTAGCTGAGTAACTGGAAACCATCTGTGAGGCCTACCAATAAGTTCCATATAGGTTTCCCACTTCTCCTTTTTTTTTTTTCCCAAAATACTATGATAAGTTGTTTTTTTTTAAACCAAACTGATAGCAGCTTATTCATAAAGTAAATTAGCTAAACAGTATAATACTGTGGGATTTATAACCTGCTATAGTCTTTGAATGCAATTTGGTTTCCCATGCTCTCACAACAATGTGTTTAAGAGCTAAAAGCAGGCCCATGGGATACATTCCTTTGTGTACATTAACATCTTGCAAAATTCCCAGTCTAGAAAACACAGAAGAAATTCTCCACCTTACATGCCTTCGCATTACTAGGAAAGACTTTTTAAGGCATTTTACTCCTACAAAAGACTTCCATTCAGGGGCAGGATCACCTTAATATTAGATAATTAGCATCCTTATTAATGCCCTACTACTCCCAGCTGACTTCATTAGTCACTACTATCTTAAATACTGTTTCTTAGAGCTTGGTTCTGTTGCACACAATTTTTAGTTTAACTTACCCATTAATGTCCATGCCAAAAATCATTATTCTACAACTGGTATTACTATTGAAGATGCTGACAAAGTGAGCAGGTTTAACTACAATAACATCATAGCTTTAGAACAGTTTAACCTATATGTGCTTTACATAGCCTTCCTATGATGCTACTCTCAAGGCTGCATCATGGTTGGCCTTGGTCCTCTTGCTTGGCAATGGGCATCATGTGTCTACCATCAGATGTGACTACAGAAATGCTAATGCTGATATACTTCGTGTACATGCAGTCCTTCAGTCAGCTTTTGACCTTTAATAGTATCCTCCTTGCTGAAAACCAACCCCTTATCACTGGCAGCGCCATACTCAGAAGGCACATAGTAATGTTTAGGTATGTTCAGCAGCAGCTTACTCTGGTTCTAAGCTTTTTGGCAATTCAGTCTTTTGCAGAAACACACCTAACTACTAATTCCCCAAAAGCAGCACTGTATACCTAACCAAATGCAGGTTTCTCACTTTTTTTTTACAACAGCTTAACAGAGAAGCCTTCAGGATCCAAAACTTGCATGGCTTTGAATTCAAAGTTGTCATAGAGAAGTGCCAAAATATCCAAGGTACAGGGAAAAAACATTTAAAATGATACTGAAACTGTATAAAAATACATAGACACAAATGAAATCAGAAAAAAAAATTAATCTTCTTTCCTGTCCAAAGCTGGTTCCTAAGGGTAGAGATGTACATCTTCTTGTCTGGATCCTATAGCTTTTTGGCTCTCTTTGGCTCCTTGCTTGCTTGTGCCCAGTCACAGCCTGATAGTTACACTACCTAGCTGGGATATTGGAGGTGGCACAAAGACTCACATTTTCCTAACTGGACGCCAGTTCAGAACCACGATGTGTCACCATACACTGGCCACTGCCTGACTATTGAAACAAGAGGCACCAATTGCTGTCACCTTTTCAAACCACCCCATCACAGACCTCACCACCAAATATCCAGAAGCTCACAAGGGTTCTTAATTTTTAGCTTGGTGCCCAATAAACTCACCATGTATAAACAGTAAACCTGTGCAGTTTCTAGTCCAGACCTTAAGTCTATAATCCTGTATTACCCAGCTGAAGTGCCTTATTTTTGCCACAGACACTGGCATCAAATTCAGCTGCTCTGTGGCACCCTGCTGCTGCAGTAGGTGTTTTATTTTTAAATGCTGAAGTCTACCACAGGTGTCTGCCTTCACCAGCTGGAAGCTGACCCAGAGACATTTAATTTAACACATTGAGTACTGCCAGGAAAACAGAGCCCTTCAGCCTTGGAACCAGGAACTCTCAATTCAGAATAGCCTCCATAAAAATAAGCCACGTTCCAAATTAAACTGCCACCATCAGCCAGATGCATGACAGCCCAAGTAAATAAAAGCAGAGCTATTTCTGCATAAACTCTGTTAGTAGGCTGAGCCTGAGTTGAGGATCACAAGGGACCCTAAGGATAAGAAACTTCTTAAAGGATGATTCTTTTTCCAGCCCACACTGTACTCATGCAGCCCCTTTCTAGCCTCACTCCCACCGCAGCTCAAGTGCTTATCTCTGTCCTAAGCCCAAACTTAGTACTGGCCTTGGCTTGGGAGCTAAGCTAGACATTTTAAAACAAAAGGGTTGACAATTATTTATTATTCAAATAAACGTGTTAGTAGAAGAGAGATCTAATCAAGTCAGACTATATGCAAAAACTGAATTAAATCCTCTAATAAGAACCAATGCATTCTTTTATGTGTTTATTTATGTGTAAACAATTAGCATTTTCCAACTGATGTTTCCTTAATAATTTCCCCTAGGCCTACAATAAATGAAGTATAAGTAGAATTACACACCTGGAAGAAGAGATTTCCAGACAGTCAAGCTTGCAGTATCTCTGGTGACTTAAGTGGAATTGTACCAGGAGATAAATTTTGATTCTCCTTCTTCAAACAGAGACTGCTGTTCTGTAACAAAACCAAGAAAAACATAAAACAAAGGTAGAATTATTACAGTCATATGAATAACAGAAACAATGTTAAAATTAACTCAATTTGTTAAAGTTTTTCTCAATCATTGCAATATCTTAGCTTTCTAGTCATCATGGAAATTTTTATGTGGAGAAGCAGCATTATACTAGCAGATAAATAATCCCATGCAATATCTGCTATGCAAGAAAATTATCTGTATTGCAACATAATTATCTCAGATGACATACTGACTGACTCCTAATTACAACAGATACAGCTAATTACTTTAGTTTATCCTGTAAATAGCTCAGCATGTATCTTTATGAGAATTCAATAATGACACATTGCTCAGTGGGACTGTATATGTAAATTGATTCTCAAGTTTGTTACGCATAAAGTTCTTACTTTTCAGTATTTGTAGAGTTTCCCTTTATTTCTAACTTCTTAGAAACTTAAGGATGGCGAATGGAAGAATATTCAGGGGAACTCAAATGATACAAACTGGTACGGTTGGGATTTTTGGACACTGTTCTCAGTACCTAAAGCGGAACTGAACCCTGGAGTCAGATCTGCATCATAGCATTTTAAAAAGCTCTCTTCCTCTGTCAGGGGCAAGAAAAATGGTAATTTACCAGTCTACTGCAAACACATTTGTTCTGTACAAACTGATCTACTCTTTTCCTCCTTTAGTTTACACCATGAAAAAGCAGCAGTAGGCGAGAGCTGTGTAGTGCTTGTGCTACCTGTCTACAGAAGTGAAGAACGAGTAGGAAGCTGCCATGATAGATACAGTTAAGTACCCAAATGCAGTCATAATTTGGTGGAAAATGGATGGAAGCCTGAATCTACTTAAAAACAATTCCTATCTGTGTTGTTTAGATCCTACAGCGAACTGTAGCCTGCCAAGGAATACAATAGGAGACATCAAATGTGTAGCTATCAATTCTGCCCAAAATGTTAATTTTTATTTCTTTTTTCCTAATTTCACCTGAAAAAGTAGAAATGTAAAAAAAAAAAAATAAAAAAAAAAAATACAAGAAGCTTGTATTACAAAATAGTTTTATTCGAGTAACTTTAAACAGGTTAGTAATATGAAGCAATATAACATATGTAGTGGACAAATTATGAGACTACGGTGACTTTGGAGTAAGTTTTTTATTCTGAGTCATTACAGAACTTTTAGAATCAACTATCAATTGAACTTTACACAACTGTGCTGTGGCTAAAAGCTCTAAAAATATTCCCTGACCAGTTTCAAGTGTACAGCATTACATTTTCTCCACTCCAAATATGTTTTCAACCAAACAGCCCACCAGACTCATTTAGGGTTCACATTTTTTACTGGTATCAATAATTCTCAACCATTTTTCATCAACCAAAAGTGAGAGTAATTAAAAATGTATTTCACACATATACAAACTCATCTTAATCAATTTTAGGTTGGCTATTTTATTATAAAGTATAGTTTTGGGTGGTTTTTTTTTTAATAAGAAAAAAATCAAACTTCACCATCTCTTACCAGGATTTTACTCAAGCCAGCAAGGTGATGAAGCATGACTCTAGTATCTTTTCTTACCCTAAAACCTGACTGACAAAAATGTACGTTTGTGTTTTCTGTTGTGATATATCTGGAAAGTACTTGTAAACAAGTGCTATTCTTCATAAGCATTTTTCATAGCAGTACTTCACTCTAAATGCTGCGGCCAAATTCACACCTTAGTGTGTATTCTGCTTTTCTTCCTGCGGACTGAACGTTTCCCTTACTTTTTGTCCAAGTTCACGTACCTACTGCCAAAAAGCCTGTTGTACATCTCCAGAGACAGCTGTAATTCAGTGGCAAAGAAAGTGATGTAATTTGTAAAATGCTTTATATTCCATTAGGGCAAATAGCAATATATAAGTTGAAGACATTTTGAAACAGCTCCTCAGGTGGTACACACGATGAGGTTGCTTCAGAGAAATTATGGAGACAGGTAGTATAAATCTGCTAGCACCTGCCTCAGTATAATCTCTTGGGTTGAGGATTGATTCTGTTTCACTGAAAAAGGGGAAAATAACCACCTTGATAGAGAACCTGGCAAAAAGACTGTGACTCTGTCTAAATTAGAGTTCTATTTTTGTAATTGCCCCATTCCCCTCTGTCATTAATTAGACCATTAAAGAAGTTGTCTCACATTTAGATGCTCACAGCTGTGGCTTCAAAGCATTTATAAAAACAGAAAGGTGCCAAGCTTTTAAATCCCACTTCACACTTTCTTATGTATCTTCATATTTGCATAGACCTATGTAAAAACTTTGCTACATAGCCACTAAGAAGAAATATGACTTCTTGCTCAGGAACTTGATGATCACAGGTTGCTTGATGCTGGAGAATATGCTGAGAAACAGCAAAAAATGAATATACATACACACATTCTTACCCTGCTCTTCCTGTCAGAGACATCATTGCAATGTTCTTTGCATTTAGATGATCATCTCTTGACACAGGCATTCAAAGTTAGAACAAAATACATTTCCTGAAGTACCTCTGCAATAGCAGAGGACAGTAATATGTTTCATTATTCTTTATTTCATTAGCCACTACAACCCTGTACATGAATTGCCATGGGTAGCAACTGCTGTGGCAGCTGTAAGTTTCCACATTTTTTTGACCATTGTCTACTTCAAAAACATATCAAAATCATTCAAAAATTCAGTTAAAAGTTGAAGTAACATGGGCTTGCAGTTGTCTTGGAGATTGTTTACCATGCTTTCAGTTCAGATTTCTACAGAAAGATTGCAATTCAACATTCCATTTATAAACACCAAATTAGCAAGGATCAAGTCTCAACGTGACAAGAGCATAAAAGGTATCATTTCTCATGCAAGACTCTGAAGTACAAAATCCTAGAAGTGGCAGATCACACTGAATTCAGAATACTGAGTTCCTAATGAATCTTTAGATCGGTGAGGTTAAAATCAACCGTCTATAGTTGCTTTGAAATGTCACCTCACCTTTTACTACCCCACTTAGGAAACAACTCATTAAGATGACTACCTGAGTCTTGTCTTACTTTACAAGGTATATTTCATGTCTTGTGGTATCATTAAAAAGAATGTTTTTAAGATTTGATTTCTTCATGTAAAATTAATGAAGCTGAAAAGTCACATTGAAAAATTATGTTTACAGAAAGACTGTGATGCTAGCACATAAGAAATACATTTTTAAAGACATAGAAAAGGGTTAGAATTTATTAAAATGCAGTACCAACATCCAAGTATAGAAGCAAACGTAAATGGAAATTAATATTGGACAGCGAGAGATGAGTAAGAATTAAGATCAGGATATTTCCAGATTACTGGTGGGAGTTTATTATTAAAGAAATATTTTTTCCATTCAAGTTGGTGACATGATATTGTTGAGCTTTGAAATGGCTTTACTTTAATATTTATGATGACATTTTGCTTTAATTTATAATTTCTAATTATTTCAGAATGGCACACAAAAAGGAGAAACAAATACAGCAAGTACAACAAGTTTATTTATGAAGTAATCAGTTGCTGACTGATAAAAATTGTCAGGCAGATTGCTAGCAAATTATTTTAATTATCAATAATTATACCTATGATCACCGGAGGGTTGCCTCTGATTTTTGTAGTAGGGGAAACTGTTAGGATTTTCGATCTTCTGGCAAAATTTTCCCAATATAGAAAAAAAAAAGTCATACAAATTATGTATGACAAGGATCACTTCGATTTCTCTCTATGCTATTTTCGATACATTCTGCATGTCAACCCATTGTTAGACTTCTTCCATGTTCTGACAGCTACAATGACCATCTCAATGCTTATTCGCTTCTATTACCAATACCTCTATATGAGCTCTTGTCAAGTATTAAGATCTCTTTGTACAAAAATAAGGAAGAAAAAAGGGGAAGAAACAGAACAACCTGTTCTCAGGTTTGTAAAGACTCAGAACAAATCTCAAAGGTTTTCAGGGCAGCCCAGATTTGTAAAGATTTTTCTTACTGTGTTTTAAAAGCACTTGTGACAGCTGGTGTGCTTTTTAAAGCTTCTATGGAGACCCAGTCTCTGACTGCAGCGCTCCAGACAGAGTTCAGCAGCTATTGCTCATGCTAGTAAATCAATCAAGGATATGATGTGCTCTACACAATAGTGGGAGAATTTTGCTTTAGAGTAACAATCTTAAAGACAACAAAAGAAAGAGGGAATATAAGCAATAATTCCACTTACATTAATAGAAAAGTCTAGATTTCAAAAGTGTGGTATCCCACCGATGTGATGCTCCCAAGGGGAGGCAGAAAAAGGTATTAAGAAGAGGCAGCCAAATGATTTTTCAATGCATCATTATGATGTTTATCACATAGGATTTACATGTGGTTTCCACATTTTTGTCACAAGACTTCATAATAAGCAAATTTAATCCTGTTGTTTCTACTTTTGTGTACCATGTTGTTATTTCAAGGGAGTCAGCATCAGGTAGGAAATGGTTACCAGGTGTATAGACTACACAGTTTAGCTTGTCTGGTGAAACTCCCATTAAATGAAGTATAGATGTCCATCCTGCAGACACCAGCTAGGAAGCAGACTGAGAAGCTTAGATCCTCCCCTCAGACTACAACATTAGCCAATATTAGAGTAAGGTGCATAACTGGCCAAATTGCTATTTTTCTGACTGATTGCAGGAAGTCCCCATAAGAGACCACGCTTTCTCTAGCATATTTATCACTTGAAATTATTTTAGTCATTAATTTCTGCAGGTGACTCTGCAAATCGCCAACAAGAATCTTACCTAAGCCTGAAGAGAAATGTAGTGTGTATAGTACACAAAGTTCCTTTCACCTACTTCTAGCAGTATAAATTCTCATTCACCTTAATATCTACAGTCATGAATTTGCATTTTACTCTGGCTTTTCTGTTATGAGAGTATTTGCAAAGTGGCAGAATAATCCTCTCTCATGTCAAAGTGTCTCGTATCAACTGTCTTGG